AGGTCGTAATTATCGCCCGGTCCTCACGCACATTTGAATGGGGGTTACCGGACATTGCAAAAGCCAAGCAGTTTTGGATGTCCATCCAAAAATATTCAATGTGTGAAATAGTTTGCCAACTTTTGTAGACAAAATACGAAAATGTCCATTCCAGTGACTCTTTATATAATTCACAAATACAGGAAAGACGCACTTCTGACTATTTCGTTAACGCTTATTTCGTGGAAGAATAAAGTCAAATGTCTGTATCTCATATAGAATCGTTTCAGTCAAAAACCAATGATAAATGTTAATCTTTTGCCATATCTGAGAGATTATAGGTCTTTGGGAAATATTGGTTCCAGATCTAGGAAGACCATTTAAGTGCAACATCTACCAATAAATTGGAAATGAGCAAATTAGTTTAAATTTCTATTATTCGAAAATTAGAGAACGAAACCTTTCGAGTATCTCGCCTATATAAACTGTATCGTTTATTATAGTGTTGTAGGGTATTCAACGGTCGGCCCCGCTCGACTGTAGCCTTTGCTTACTTGTTGTAGTATAAAATTGTCTATATAGGCTCCCGTTTTTATAGTCTCCATATAATGGCTTCAACCACTATATTGTTCTTTGAAAACTCTTACTGCATTCTCCTACGGATCTTACTGGAGTTTGTAGTTTAAAGTGGAATATGTTTGAATCCAGATACTTTTGTATAAATATTTTTTTTGCCTAATGGTAGAGGGTATCAGAAGTTCAGCCCGGTCGAACTAAATGTCTTATTTCTTAGTTAATTTGTTTATTTTTTAGTGCAGACCCAAAGTTTATAATAGTTGTTTGGGGTTTGTTAGATCTAGTTCGGATTATATTTTATTATTAGGGTCTATATCTCAGAAACTAGTAGAATGTTTCCTTTAAAGTCGTTGGCAGTAGTGTAGATCTAAAGTGGTAGAATGTATGTGGCGACCAAAGCAATCATTTGCAGCTGCATCTAGCTCATAATGTTCAATATTATGGTGTCCCTAAGAAGTCGAAAATATTACAATCTAAATTGTTCATTATTGATGCGCTAACATGAAAATTTAATAGATTTAGCCTATATCGCTCGTCTTATGGGGTGTATCTGATCGCCTTTATCGTTTCTGTCCTGCTGAAACATAAACTTTCTTTTACTAGTATAATCCTATTAAAAACTATTTTTCATATTCTATGGATAGTCCGTATCAATGCGTGTTTGAGAACAAAGTCTCTTTTTTTAAAGTAACTTGCATATGCCTCCCGAAAGTACTTAACTTTATTAAAAGTATGAAGGTATATTTTCATCAAAGGACAAAAAACATCCTTCGTTTTAAAAACAGCATATTAAATGATCAATAATGTTATCAGAGCCCCTAATCAATCCCCATTTCTTCGCAGGAATCGTTTTCTTTTCATATAAGATAAGTGGAAGGTTTTTGTTTCTATAAAAAAGGATCAAAGAACTGAAATTAGCTTTCCTTTAATGCCCTGGTGCATTATATTGATCTAAGCACTAATTGATTACAATAATAATACAATAACATGGAACCCTAGTGTTTATACATAATATCTGCATCCGCTCTGCTCCAATACAGCGTAAACTTTATGCTTATGTTTCAATCGATGACAATAGGACCTTCTTGCCGAAAACCAAAATATTTTTTTTAATGGTCGAATAAAGAGGATCCTTTTTCTCGTACATGGCGATAAAGATATTATTTTCTTATCGGGAAGCACTGAAAATATCTGGGGGGTTCCATCCACATAAACAATGTAGGTTCTTCCTTTCTTCCAATCAAAGTGGCATTTTGTCTGAATCATTTTCGAGTCGCCGACATATATCGACAAAATTAAAATGCATAATTATAAATGAAAATACTTAATTAAAGTTTACAGTACATCTGCTATGGATGGGACCGGACTTAATACGCATTTAATGTTACCGTTTTTTGTCGGTAACTCAAAAATTGATTTAGAGAACCTTATTCTTTAGAATGTATTCCTCTCGTCAAAACCCAGTGAATAAACCATTCCTCACAATGAACTTTCAATATTCTTCCACATTATTTCTCTGTTGCAGAACCTGTGAAAATCTTCCAGTTTTGCAATTATTTATACCCTTCACCATCATGGAGGGTATATAAAGTTTGTCATTCCGTTTGTAACACCTCGAAATATACATCTTAGACCGCACAAATTATAGATATTCTTGATCAGCATAAAATTCTATGTCGATTTATCGATGTCCGTCCGTCTATCCATCTGTGGAAATCACTCTAGCTTCCGAACGAATCAAAGTAGATTGATAAAATGTTACTCAAATGTATATTGTGTCTGCAGGACTTTTGGTATTGAAATTTTGGTATTTGGTATTTGATGTTCGTAGTGGATGCTACAGTCTATGACAGGAGATTGTTTGTGCAGCTCCACGTTTTTGTATAGCCCCCATATAACTGTACCTCCCGATATTCTGTATTTTGATGATTTTAGCGACATTATTCACCGGAATTGTTTTAAATTTCGTATTTGAAGTTCGTAATGGATACTACAGCCTAAGACAAAAAATTGTCTGTGCAAGTCCACGTATTCGTATAGCTTCCATACAACTATACCTCTCGATATTCGATATTTTGATGATTTTATTTACATTATTCACCAATTTTTCTTAAGTTTCGCATTTTAATATTGTAATATGACAAAAGTTGCCTATGCAGGTCCATGTCGTCCTATAAACCCTAATATAATAGCTATATTCGATATTTTTAAGATTTTAACAAAATTTTTAAGTGATTTTATTGTTTTTGAGAATTGCCCAATTCGTTCCAAATTGTGGAGGATATTCAAAGCTTTTTACAGCTTTTTTACTTCTTCGATATAATAAAGAGAACAAATTATCATTGTAAGAACTTTCACGTTCTTGCAGTTCTGGAACAGACCATTTGACTACCATACCTCCATCAAATTAAGCTTTTGAAACCACAACAAAAAAAGTCTTGTCAAAATCATCATTTTAAGTTAACTTTTTGTAAGAAGTATTTTTCCCAAACTGACCTTGACATATTGCCCGATTAACAATAGATACAAATTTTAGGCGCTTTTAAGTGCTAATATTTATACCCTACAACACTATGTGTTGGGGGTATTATAAGTTTGATTGGGCCAGAATTTATGTAACACCTCGAAATATTGATTTCCCATATAGGAAAGTATATATGGATCTTCCTAGCTCGCCGAGCTGAGTCGATCTAGCTATGTATGTCCGTCCGTCCGTCTGTCCATGTTAATTTGTAATCACTCTACAGGTCGCAATTATGGCCCGATCTTCACGAAATTTAAAATGTAGGTGGGGTTAATGTCAGAATAGAACCCTATTTCTTTTGGAGATGATCGCCAAATGTTTAGGGGTTGAAATGGACCAAATACTAAAAAAAATGTCAGATTTTGCAGTAGCTATACTGGTCGCAATTATAGACCAATCGACGCGGAATTTCGCATGTAGCTAGAGTTTAGGGCGGGGAAGAAGCCTACCAATTTGGGTCATCGGATAATATTTAGCGGGTAAAATAGACCATATATTTTGTGTTGAAAAAATTCAAAATTTTTCATTAAACCGCGAATATTTTAAATCCCGGCGAAATCACAAAGCCATGACAAGGTTACTCCTGATCTTTACATTGATGTTAACATCCAACAAAACGGATATATAGCAAAATATGTCCGATATATATGTCTATCAAAGAAGATATGCTTGTAAGATCTCTTATATGTCGAGAACGGCTGAACAGATTTCGACAGTTCTCATGAATTCAGAATGGCCTCTTGGCAGGAAAGAAACAACGTCTAAAGAATCGCATAAAAATATCTCTCTAAAGATGAAAATATTGATTTTGTAAAATTTTCTCATATTTTTTCAATTTTGTCATATTTTTGGCATATTTTCATTTTGAATTAAACATTTGGTAATATTTCTACAGCTAACAAAACTAAGTAGTTAGGATATCAGGATATCATATACAGATCGTAATTATGGCCCGATCCTTACGAAATTTTGCATGGGGATAAGATGAGGGTCAGAATAGAAGTCTATTCTTTTTGGAGATGATCGCAATATATCTAGGGGTTGAAATGGACCAAAAAACTACAAAATTGTCAGCAGGTCGTAATTGTCGCCCGATCCTCACGCACATTTGAATGGGGGTTACCGGACATTGCAAAAGCAAAGCAGTTTTGGATGGCCATCCAAAATTATTCAATGTGTGAAATAGTTTGCCAACTTTTGTAGACTAAATACGAAAATGTCCATTCCAATGACTCTTTGGAGAATTCACAAATACAGGAAAGACGCACTTCTGACTATTTCGTTAACGCTGATTTCGTGGAAGAATATAGTCAAATGTCTGTATCTCATATAGATGCGTTTCAGTCAAAAACCAATAATAAATGTTAATCTTTTGCCACTTCTGAGAGATTATAGGTCTTTGGGAAATATTGGTTCCAGATCTAGGAAGACCATTTAAGTGCAACATCTACCAATAAATTGGAAATGAGCAAATTAGTTTAAGTTGCTATTATTCGAAAATTAGTGAACGAAACCTGATGGTTTTCTTTTATTATTTGTCACAATATCCTGTGGAATTATTATAGTGTTGTAGGGTATTCAACGGTCGGTCTCGCTCGACTGTAGCCTTTGCTTACTTGTTTTAAGTTAACTTTTTGTAGAAAGTATTTTTCCCAAACTGACCTTGACATATTGCCCGATTAACAATAGATACAAATTTTAGGCGCTTTTAAGTGCTAATATTCATAAATTAAAGTTGTACTATAAGGCTGGTATAAAAAGCTTGGCCGTTTCAAACACATTTTCTTTTTTTATTGTAATTATATTTGTTATGATAGTTATGCACAAAAAAACCTCAAATATATAATTTAAACACTTTAAATACTAATATTTTCAATTTTGTTCTTTTTCTTTTCCAGAGATTATCACCTAATTTTCTAAAATGTAAAATTCAACTTTACCGCATCTGGGAGACTCAACGTTATTTCCTGACATTTTTATGCATCTCTAAGTATTGGATATTGACCATGTTTTTAGGCAGCATTCAAGAGCAACGACAACAACAACAAAATTTCAAAAGACAATATCAATTATTAAATCATAATCCTTATATACAACAACCACTGAAATTGGTGCTGGGTGACGAGTGTATAAAATAGCAGAGAACGAATTGATTGGAAACGCTCCACAAGCAAAAAAAAAAACCAAATCCCTTCCCCTTAGAAACTTCTAATCCAACAAAGCTAAACAAACAAAGAACAAGAAGCCAAACAAAAACAAAGATTTGTTCAATTTTCGTACAACAGCAATAACAACAACAACGGCTAAACATTGCCAAAAGCCATCTCATGTTGACCAGGAATGTGGCCAAAAACAACGTCACCAACAGCAACATGTTGTTCGGCCGCTCCATGCCCGTATCATTGCTATTGATGCTGCTGTTATCATTTTGTCAAGGATCTTTATTGCCTTTACAAAGCGATTTGAAACGTCCAGAGGTGCCAGCCACAACGGCAGCCAATGCTGCCGTAAACGGTGGTGCTGTTGCTGCCGCCACAGCTGAGAGTGCTTCGGAAGCAAGAGGTTCGATTGATTCAAATCTTAATTTGTTACCACGACCGGCCACTTTACTATTGGACGGCATGCCATCAGCTGCCACCGCTCAGCTGTATCCGGTTAATTTAACGCGTCAACATGAAGGAGACATCTTTTGGACCAATGGTAAGTTGTTGCGTTAGTTGTGCGTGGAAAAACGCTTTTGGGTTGGGTGATGATTTGAAAATTGTTCATTTGTTTTGTTTTTTCTTTTTGTTATTTACATTTCAAGGTGTCAGCTCGTGCAATGTGGACATATGTGTGGGTCTATCAAGTGGTACGGCCTCTTGGCTATCGATGGGCGTTAACAAAGTGGGTAGGTATCGTTTTTCTTGATTGTCATTTGTCATTGTCAGTAAAAAGAGTGTTGTGTTAAATTACTATACGAGGGATGGTTGGGAAGTTTATATGGAAGTGAAAAAAAGTACTATATGTGGAAAAGCTTTCGATTTCCTTCCAATACAGAATTCGAATTGCCACAAAGGACTAAAGGAGAAACCCCACAAAAGAGAGAGAGAGAGAGAAAATATGGGCCTTTATGGAGAGAATCATTTTTAATTCACATGATAAACCTCATGGTCTTTTTAAAAGGCCCTCTTCGGATCTTCTGTGAGGAACTTTAGGTCTTCTATAAACAAAATTTATTGATATCCTCTAAAGAAAACTGTATTTTGGTCTCAATGGAGACCTTCAAATATTCTGTGAAAAAGATCTTCCGAACTTTTAAAACGTTAAAACTTCTCCTTCTCAGAAAAGCAGAGGAAGAACTTCTGCTTTTCTGGAAAACAAATAACACCTTCTGCTACTCCGGAAAGCAAAAGACAATTTCTGCTCCTTCGGAAAGCAGAAGACCACATGTGCTCCTCTGCAAAACAGAAGACCCTTTCTGCATTAGTGGGAAGTAGAAGACTCCTTCTGCTCCTCTGAGAAGCAGAAGACCCCTTTTGCTCCTTTGGAAAGCAGAGGAAGACATTCTGCTCGTCTGGGAAGCAGAAGACCCCTTCTCCCCCTCTGAAAAGCAAAGGAAAAACCTCTCCACTAAAAAACAGAAGATTTCTTCTGCACCTTAGGGTAGCAGTGAAGGGAAGCAAAGGAAAAACGTCGGCTCCTCTGGGAAGAAGAAGACCTCTTCTGCTCCTCTGGGAAGAAGAAGACCCCTTCTGCTCCTCTAGGAAGCAGAAGACCCCTTCTGCTCCTCTAGGAAGCAGAACACCCCTTCTGCTCCTCTAGGAAGCAGAAGACCCCTTCTGCGCTCCTCTGGGAAGCAGAAGACCCCTTCTGTGCTCCTCTGGGAAGCAGAAGACCCCTTCTGTGCTCCTCTGGGAAGCAGAAGACCCCTTCTGTGCTCCTCTGGGAAGCAGAAGACCCCTTCTGTGCTCCTATGGGAAGCAGAAGACCCCTTCTGTGCTCCTCTGGGAAGCAGAAGACCCCTTCTGTGCTCCTCTGGGAAGCAGAAGACCCCTTCTGTGCTCCTCTGGGAAGGAGAAGACCCCTTCTGTGCTCCTCTAGGAATCAGAAGACGCCTTCTGTGCTCCTCTAGGAAGCAGAATACCCCTTCTGTGCTCCTCTGGGAAGCAGAAGACCCCTTCTGTGCTCCTCTGGGAAGCAGAAGACCCCTTCTGTGCTCCTCTGGGAAGCAGAAGACCCCTTCTGTGCTCCTCTGGGAAGCAGAAGACCCCTTCTGTGCTCCTCTGGGAAGCAGAAGACCCCTTCTGTGCTCCTCTGGGAAGCAGAAGACCCCTTCTGTGCTCCTCTGGGAAGCAGAAGACCCCTTCTGTGCTCCTCTGGGAAGCAGAAGACCCCTTCTGTGCTCCTCTAGGAAGCAGAAGACCCCTTCTGCTCCTCTGGGAAGCAGAAGACCCCTTCTGCTCCTCTGGGAAGCAGAAGACCCCTTCTGCTCCTCTGGGAAGCAGAAGACCCCTTCTGCTCCTCTGGGAAGCAGAAGACCCCTTCTGCTCCTCTGGGAAGCAGAAGACCCCTTCTGCTCCTCTGGGAAGCAGAAGACCCCTTCTGCTCCTCTGGGAAGCAGAAAACCCCTTCTGCTCCTCTGGAAAGAAGAAGACCCCTTCTGCTCCTCTGGGAAGCAGAAGACCGCTTCTGCTCCTCTATGAAGCAGAAGACCGCTTCTGCTCCTCTATGAAGCAGAAGACCGCTTCTGCTCCTCTATGAAGCAGAAGACCGCTTCTGCTCCTCTATGAAGCAGAAGACCGCTTCTGCTCCTCTATGAAGCAGAAGACCGCTTCTGCTCCTCTATGAAGCAGAAGACCGCTTCAGCTCCTCTAGGAAGCAGAAGACCCCTTCAGCTCCTCTAGGAAGCAGAAGACCCCTTCAGCTCCTCTAGGAAGCAGAAGACCCCTTCAGCTCTACTAGGAAGCAGAAGACCACTTCAGCTCCTCTAAGAAACAGAAGACCCCTTCTGCTCCTCTAGGAAGCAGAAGGCCCCTTCCGCTCCTCTGGGAAGCAAAAGATCCCCTCTACTCCTCTGGGAAGCAGAAGATCCATTCTGCTCTTCTTTGAAGCAAAAGAATTCTTTCTGCTCTTCTTTGAAGCAAAAGAATACTTTCTGCTCTTCTGGGAAGCAGAAAACCCTTTTCTGGTCCGCTACTCCCATATGAAACATAAGAAGTCTTTCTACTCCTGTGGGAAGCAGCATAAGATGACCTTCTGCCCTTTTGGAAATCAGTACACCTTCAGCTCTACTAGAAAGCAGAAGACCTTCTGGTCTGCTATGAAGCGGCAAATTTGCTGGTCATCTACGAAGAGGACATTTTTGTCTTCTATGAGGAAGATGTTCTGACATTCTGTGAAGAGGAGACTTTCTAATCCTGTGGGAAGCACCATAAGATAACCTTCCGCCCTTCTGGAAATCAGCACACTTTCAGCTCTACAATAAAGCAGAAGACCTTCTTCTCTGCCATGAAGCGGCAAATTTTCTGGTCTTCTACGAAGAGGACATTTTTGTCTTCCATGAGGAAGATGTTCTGGCATTCTGTTAAGAGGATCTTCCGCTCTTCTGCAGTTAATCATTTTGGTCTTTAGTAAAGAAGGTCTAGCCGTTCTTTATTAGAACCCTTAAATTTCTAGTCTTACATAAAAAGAATTTGAATTGGGTACTTGAGTTCTTGGAGGCCACATTTTGGCGTGCTTGCAGTTAACCCTACCTAAATAAAATTCCTTACAACGACTACCGTTTTCCATGAAAGCAAACTCCTTATCATATTTCCCAACAATGCCTCGTATTTCGCCTCATTATCTCCTTAAATAGAACTAAATTAACCATTTTATTAAATCGTTGATTTGTTTATTGTCTTTTCTTGTTTTTATTTCGCCTCCAGGTTCATTGGCTGGTATCGGTGGCGTTGACAGCAAATCTCATTTAGAATTATTGACACGTCAAAGGCACAAGTTAAACATCAAGTCATCGCCTCTGTCTCCGCCAATCGCCACGCTGACAAACGGCCATAGCAGCGGGGAAAGTTGCCAATGTCGATGTTTGCCATATCTAACAACGTATCGCGAAGATCTCGGCATTTGTGTTGACGATATACACGGTGAGTAGTGGTAGAAAATAGTTGTAGTAGAAGAAAACAAACAATCGGCAATCATAAACAAAGTGTTAACCACCGGCACTGGCAGCGCAGATATGCGCTGCAGAGCGGCTGTAAATGGAAACTTGTGGTGGAACGGAGAAAGAAATGGAAATGCATTCAAAACACAACATCGAGAAAGACAAGTCGAACAAACAACGAACTTTATGCGTAAACTTATGGTGGCAGTAATGCAGCAAGTTTGTTGCTTAAGTCTTTTGTTTTATCTGTATTTCTCTGCACTTAAGCAACCAACTAAATGTCCGCCAAGCAAAGACGTCCAACAATAAACGCCTATTGCAAATACCACATCAAATGAAATCTTCAACTCCACAATTTTATATCTCTTGAGCTACTGGTATTTCTGTTCGTTTGTCTTTAATGAAGCAGAAAATAATTTGTTTTCAGCGCTTTTTCCAATTCCTTAAAAGGGGGTAGAGACAATTTTCTAATTGCCAACATATTAATTCCATTGGTAAGCTTTAACTTTGGCTGGCTGGATGGTTGACTGACGGACTGGCTTTGGGCACGATGACCATATCATAAACTAAACTTTGATTTGCTTTGTTCACTCAACCATCCATAATCAATGGCCATTAAACGGGGCTATTTGGCCCCAAAGAAGAGAAAAGCAAAAAAACTAACACTTGCCGGCAAGTCATATTTTTCTTTTCGACGGCCATCTGACGTTACAACATGCAATCAGTACTGCATGGATTTTGAGCTATTGAGAATAGTTGTTTGCTTGCAGTTGGGCTCGTTTTATGGCGCTTCACAAAAGGCACCCATTCGAAGTTCATGCTAGGAAGTGTGGCTCTTGTTTGGTCGGTCGTTTCTGGGCAATTGAGAACTAAAATGGATGATTTACATGAAAAGGGCTTCTGGTTGAATTGGAAAATTACAATGTCTGCAAATGAATTGAATTGTTAAATTATAGTTGCGGATATTTGGTGCGGCGCCTTAAGCATGCTTTAGGGATTTTAATGTTAATTAAGCGAGACAGCGTGCCACAAACGTGTTAAGAACATAAAAATAAGTAGATATCATACATCAGGTGATACATCATCATACATCAGGTCATCATCAATGGAGGCAGCACCTTTAGAAGTTTAATATTTTCATGTACTATATATGTAAGGCTCTCTGTATGTACAAGGCCTGCGGAAAATGCAGTGACTTGAAACATTATTAGGAGGGTATTTTATCTACATAAGATACTTTGTACATTCTTCCTACAGAATACTTTTGGAGGGGTTGCTCTCTATGAGCTAATTACAGGAAGTCTCCTTTTACAGATCATCCATAAAAGGAATTCTTTCAATAGAAGTGTTGAGAAGGAGTTTCTAACAAGAAAAGACCAAGGATAGGTATTTCTTCTAGAGAAAACAAAACCAAATGTCGGGCGGGGCCGGCTATATGACACCCTACATCACTATGCATATTTAGCAGAGCTTACGCAACAAAAGAATTTATTTCAAGTAGATCATACCACCTATCACCATTTGGCTTTACAGCAGTTATAGTTCAGTTATAAATTCAAGACTTTTTAACTTTTGACTTTTTGAAATATATGGGACCTATATCCCAATCTGAACAGATCTTGATAAAATTTGGTAGAGGTATTTCCGAGTTCTATAAAATATCTGGTACCACATATAATTGTCGTCGAATGGATATTACGAATATGAGGGACTTAAACAAAAAATCAGATGAAATGTTGCTATATCTGAATCTATTTTCAAGTTTAAGTATTTAAAGTACTTGCTTCTAGACAGAATTCAATCGGATAGGCCAAAATTCAAGTCATTTGGACTATTTGGTGCACAATTAACCCAAAATCTATTGAGGATATATATGGGAGCTATATCCAAATTTGAACCGATCTGATAAGATTTGGCAGAGGAATTTCTGGTATCTGATAACTGGTACCAAATATCATTGTTGTGGAATGCATATTACACTTGTAAGGGACTTTAAACCCAAATACGGAAAACACATATATGAAAGCTGTAGCTATATCTTAACCGATTTGAAGTACTGGTTTATAGGATGAATTCTGTCGTTATTGCCAAAATTCAGTCCGTTTGGGTTGATATTAGCCATTTGGTGCACAATAAACCTGATATCGCATAAAGATATATATGGGAGGTATATCCTAATCTGAACCGATCTCGATAAAAATTTTACAGAGGTATTTTCGAGCAGTATCTGACGTCCGCTACCAAATATTATTCTTCTGGAGTGCACATAATGCATGTGAGAAATGAAAATGAGATAAAACAAGAAAGCAAAGGCTATAGTCGTGCGGGGCCGACCATGTGATACCCTACAACACTACAATATATAAGAAGCTTTATCGCTTTTGAAATTATGTCAAAAAGCACTGCCCAGATATTACCCTTAGCATTTTGACCAGGGACATTTGCCCAATATTTACGCACTCCGTCGTGCGGTTGGTTGTAGTGGTCCATTTTACAGCTTAATATAATGCAGTGGTCATCCAAAATGCTAGAATTCTTCCCTGTCCTTAAATTTCTGCGTAGGCGTATTTATTGGCTTTAATTGTGTGATCAGGAAACATTTCTGTTTTTGGTTCATTTCAACCCCTTAATTTTTTGCGATCATCTCCAAAAGCAAGTGGCCCCTCTGTGTTTCCAAATTTATACTCATATATATGATTTGCTTGGCTACAATATTTGGCTATATTCGGTAACGAAATCAGCATATTTGTATATTTCGGATATCATCTGTAAGTAATGTTGGTATTTTTTCACACAAAAGTGGTGGTCCATTCTACCCGCTGTCCTAAACTCTAAGTTCATGCGAGACTTCGTGTCCTTTAGTTTATATTTTTACCTTTATAACGGCAGCAAAATCAGGGAAATTTTTAGTTGTTTGTCCATTTCAACCCCTAAATATATCGCGGACATCTTTGAAAACAATAGGCCTAGCCCTTCTGAGCTTAACCCTACCCTTGTGAAAATTTTCGTGAGGATCGGACGATAATTTCAATCTGTATATAATAATCCCAACCTGTGTTGTAAACTGAAAAAGTATTACAAAATGTATATTGTATATTTCAATATAAGTCAAATTGAAAAAATCGCATGCGATAAAAAATATGAAAAAATAAAAAAAATGTCACAAAATACTACAAAATTTATATTAGCATCACAAATGACATTTTTATGCGATATTTTTTAGATTTTATGCTTTTATGCCAAGAGGGCATTCTGAATTGGCAAAATTTGTCAAAATCGGTCCGGCCATTCTTGAGATATAAGCATTCTAGCTAACATCCTCCTCCTATGTATATACACATTGTATATATTTCGCTATATATATCCGATATATTTACCAGTGGTATCTACGTCTATTTGTGATTTCGTAGGGATTAAAAATATTCGCGGTTTAATGGAGAATTTGACTTTTATTTAACACAAATAATATGGTATATTTTATCCACTAAATACTACCCGATGATCATCAAAATTGGAAGACTTCTAGCCACCCCTTAGCTCTAGCTCCATGCTAACTTTCGCTTTGATTGGTCTATAATTGCGACCTGTAGAGCAGCTGCAAAATAAGGAAAATTTTCAGTTTTTGGTCCATTTCAACCCCTAAATATTATGCGATCATCTCCAAAAGAAATAGGGTTCTATTCTATTATTCCCTAGCCCCACCTCCATTCCAAATTTCGTGAAGATCGGGCCATAATTCCGACCTGTAGAGTGATTACAAATTAACATGGACAGACGGACAGACGGACAGACGGACGGACGGACATACATAGCTAGATCGACTAAGCTCGGCGAGATAGGAAGATCCATATATACTTTCCTATGTGGGAAATCAATATTTCGAGGTGTTACATAATTTTTGGCCCAATCAAACTTATAATACCCCCAACACATAGTGTTGTAGGGTATAAAAATAAATGATCTCACCCTGTATGTGGGACCTATAGCTATATCTAAACCAATTTTCACCAAATTTGATACACTTCCTTCAGGCTAAATTCGTTTGAATGTGTGTGTCTATTAACCATTTTGTGCATAATAAACTTGAAATCAAGTGAATATGTATATGTGAGCTCTATCCAAAACTCAACCGATTTCGATAAAATTTGTCAAATGTATTTCTGAGCTTTTTTGATATATTTCTGAACCTATCTCGATAAAGGTATTTCTGAGCTTTCTTGTAGCAAATATCATTGTTAGAGATTGCATATTACGAAAGTAAGGTATTTAAACACCAAACCTATAGAAGCTATAGCTATATCTGACAGACGGACGAACGGGCAGACGGACTGGCATCCACAAATCGACTCAGAACGTGATTCTATGAAGATCCTCAAAAGTAACTATGGGTCTTCATCGCTTCCTTTTCCATGTTACAAACAAATGCACAAAGACATGATACCCTTAGCACTATGCAGTGTGCGATATAACTTCCAAGTTTTTTAAGAACTCTACATAAAATAATATTTTGATTCTATCTTCAGACAGACGGACCGGCAAAAAGACACACTGGCAAATGATCATAGTTAAAATAAATTAGAATTTTATAGTGATCATCACGGACTGACAAATTTAATATAGGCTAGTATAAATTGACAAAAAAATATTTAGACCAAATTTCGTCACACATTTTAAACTTCATTGAAACTGGAGATACATAGGGTGTTTGGTACATCAAATACATGATTTGGGAGTTACATCCAAATCTGGCCCGATTTTATTATAATTTTCATTTTTGTACCGAATTCGGTCTCACATTCCGATATTGTATACTGTATCTATAACCGATCAATAGATATATATATATACAAAAACTATTTTTTTTTTGGAGTTACCTCCGATTCTAATGCTATATCTCCGGTTCCAAGTGTAATTTCTAAAAATTATATAGCCTATGTTACATTCAGACTATTCTGTAGTATATTTGGAATTTTTCAGAAAAAT